AAGAAGGTCCCCAATTTCCCAGCCTCCCACTTTTCGAGCTCGCATTAAGAGGAGGGGGCTTTTCTTCTCTTTTTCCCCCACAACCAACTTCTCGAAATGAGAGGGGAGGGTCGCTGCCCCGCCCCCTCCTCGCCCGGAGACCCACCTTGCGTCCCTGGTAGGCCTCGAAGGCTCGCAGGGCCGATTCAGTCAGCTTGACGTGGAAGACAGAGACTCGTGTGCCGCGGCCGAGGCGCCCGCAGGACAGCGCATACCCCCTCTCAGCCAGCGCCGCCATCTTGGGAATCTCCGCGGCGGTGGCGGCGGAAGCCCCTGGGACACGCCCCCTCAACTATTATGGAGCAGAAACGCCCCTGTGTAACGTCATCTAGCCGCGCGGCGGCAGGCTTAAGTTGCAAAGTACGACGGGAAGCGTAGTGTGCAACTTCCCTTTGCTTTGCTTATAGGCGCCCTCTTCTGGTACGTTTCCAAACTCTCCTATACCGCCATTGCCAGGAGTTGCGCAGGGGCAACGTGCCGCTAGGCATGCTGGGGGATATAGTCTTTTTGTATCCTTCCAAAATTGGTGTCCTAAATTTGAGGCAACGTTTTTACGGTGGACAGTGGCAACTCTGGGAAGTGTTGCTTTTATATATTCCAAAGATGTACTTAGTTTTTTCTGCAGAAAACTTTCCAAAGAATCTTGTGCCACCACCTTAAAAGTAGGCAATGTTATTATCTTTAGTGGATGATGTTCACTTCATCAGATGAATGGAGCAAATTACTGTGCCTACTGCTGTAGAAGAGAGGAAAAAGTGGTGATGAGATGCACAGAGCATCTTGCTGCTGGCCTTGGACACGTTATAAGACTTCTAAATCAAAATGGTACATAAGCATATTCATATATAATAAAAAATGAAGTGTATATATTTACTGCACATAAAACTTTCAAATATTCACAAAAAGGTGCTGATGATTAATAATTTGATTGTCGATTTCAAGAGTTGCAAATACTGAACATTGTTATGACTGCATTTATTTTTCTACAAATCATAACAATGTTCAATATTTGAAACTGACAGTCAAATTATTAAGAAAAAAGTTCCACCAGGTGCATACAGTACTTCCTTGGGAGATACACAGCATCAAGACCCTCGGTTTCTCCACTTATTTTGCCCACCTGGTTTTTGGGTTTGGCATCAGAGCAGGGGAGGTAGGGTGCCAATTGTCATGTGAGAAACTCTGCAGGTGACCAAAGATACTGTCCTGTGGATAACCAGGAATGGGGCCTTACAAAGCTTAAAACCTTTCATGGTTCAGGACCTAGGTACCTGTGGGACTGCCCTCTCTCCATGGGCTCTGCCCATCCTTTGAAATCTGGAAAAGGATTAGAGAGGGCTCCCTCTAGGTCCATGTCCTTAAGGCAGCGTTGTCCAAACTTGGCCACTTTAAGATGAGTGGACTTCAACTCCCAGTGGCTGGCTGGGGAATTCTGGGATTTGAAGTCCACTCATCTTAAAGTGGCCAAGTTTGGACAACACTGCCTTAAGGAATGCCATCTGTAAGGATCCCAGGGTTGGGCCTTCTCAGTCATTGCCCCCCTTCTGTGGGACAGCATTCCCCCTGATATTGGATGGGCCCAGACTCTGTTGATTGATTATGTGCCATCAAGTCAGTGTTGATTCTTAGTGACCACATAGACAGATTTTCTCCAGCAGGATCTGTCCCCAATCTAGTCCTTCAGGTCTTCCAATGGTGCACCCATCGCCACCATAACTGAGTCCATCCACCTTCCTGCTGGTCATCCTCTTCTTCTTTTTTCTTCTACCTTTCCCAGGATTAGCACCTTCTCCAGAGAACTAAGTTTTCACACAATATGATAAATTGAGCCTTGTGATTTGTGCCTCAAGTGAGAACTCTCTGTTGATTTGCTTGAGGATCCACTGGTTTGTTTTCTTGGTTGTCCATGGTATTCTGAGGAGTCTTCTCCAACATCAAAGTTCAAAAGTGTCCAGAATGTTTGTTAGCTTTTCACAGCTGGCTGTTTCAGCATGACCTTGGATCTGTTGTTCTTTTCCCTCCTGGAAACTGATTGGGCTCTGGCTGTTCCTCAGCACTGGGAAAATTCCCAGCACCAGGCCTGATTGGAACTGCATATAACTCTAATACAGTAAAATAGACAAATTAAATACCTGGGGATGGTAGTGACTGGATTTCTGGGCTCTGCTGCTGAAATGTGACATTTCTCTAAAGAGAAAGTAAGATTCTCATTTTCACAGTTGAAAATAAATGGGTTTTAAAGAGGAATGTAGAAAGCAGATTTTTTTTCAATCAGATCAGATACTTGATTCGTAATATTCAGTATATACAGTGACTTGCATTATATCTCTAATCTTCAAGGATTTCTGGCAACTGCATTGTACATTCTAGTTCTATCTGGAGATATGGAGGATTGACACTGGGACTTTTTATTGCACAAAGTGGGAGTTCTACACGGAGTCAGTAGCTTTTCTCCAGTGTGTATGAGCACATGTTTCTGTCACAGAAAGGTTCTGAGACAGGGGGCTCCCCAGTGTGGTCAAAAAAGTCAAGATGGTGACCATGATGGCCTATCATGCATAAAAAACAGGCCAAATTTCTGTTGCACTGTTGTGACTGCCAATTTGACTTTTTTGACCACACTTTGCAGAGAACCTAGTTCTGAGAGGAGAAATAGTACACAGCAAAGTCAAATGACTAAGCAATGCCAAGGGGGAAAAAAAAGAATTACATTAAATCAAGATAAAATTGCTATAGAGACCATTCCCAAAGCAGTGCTGATCACAGCACAGATATTCTAGAATGAATAAGATAATTCTTACTTCTAGGTCTTTTAATATATTACTAATATGGTAATATTTTAATTTTGTATAGTGTATATTTTAGACTTGTATATCTGTTATCTGTGCTGTTTATACATTGTATAAAGAATAAAATCACTTCTCTGTTTAAAATAAATTTAAATGAAAAATTGATTTTAGAATGCTTTGAACTGCACTGGGAAATCTTGCTTTGAAGAGTGATTTTAGTTTTTTAAAAAATAAAATAACAATAGTGGTATAAGAACTCCTTTCACTCTGCAGAGAACTTGATGTCTCGATTAATTACTATTTATCAGTTTGTTTCATCTTTTACCTCCTTACGCTATAAAATAGTTACAGTACTTTAAGATGGGAACAAAATGATAAGACCGAAGAAGGAAATATTTTGTCCCTTATTTTTGAATGTTGCCATTTCTGGTGACAGTTTACTACAGTAATATAATGAGTACTGAGATTGCAGCATGGGTATTTTAACTCTCAACAGCTATATTACTTTTGTTATCTTGTTATTTTTATTTTGTAATTAGCCACCTACCTCTCTGGAAGCAGGGCAGATGTAAGTTCTAATAAAAATATATAATAAGAAGGAGAAGACACTATTGTGCTGGTCTCCAGTTGCAGAGTTTATATTGGTATCCACTTAGCACTGTGAGGTAAGTACAGTAAATGCAGAATCTTGTTTTCTGACTTAGGGTGTGAGTCCCTGACATTGTGAATTTTTAGGAACGGTAACATAGATAGATGTAGATATAGATATGTAGATGTAGATATGTAGATGTAGATGTAGATATAGATGTAGATATATTATATTACTCTTATCATATATTCACTTATCTGAGGATATATATCTGTGGAACCCCCTTTTTGTTCTTCTGGAGGTTTTGGTCACTTTTCTCTTTCCATCTATTGTATCGTGTGTGAGTGTGTGAGTGTGTGTGTGCACACATCTGTCTGTTATATATTTATGTATTATTTAGTTGTAAGCCACCGGAGTCATATGGGAGTCGGATGGCCTGTAAGTTAAATAAATAATAAATACAAAGCAAACTTTTCTTCTTTCGACCCACGCAGAAATCCTAAAATGCTCTGAATTCGCGTGGAACGTGCAGCACGACGCATTTATCCCAAAGCAAGCTAGTGAGTGCGATTTACCGTTTGTGTTGATCGAGTCGTAATCTTTCTCTCTCTCTCTGATTAACAGGAAAGCCATAAATTATTACAAATATAATATTTATTTTATCCTTTGTTAACAACTGGGAAATATACCTCTACAGAGAGCGTGATAAACAAACACACTCCCACGCAAAGAATTCTGGGGAACGTTCCCCCGTTTCCCTTGTTTCCAGGGGGAGGGGCGTGGTGGTGGCAAAGGCACACCATTGGTTAAACGGGCCTACATGAAGGCGGGGTTATTCAAATAAACCATTTGACATCAGACAGCTGAGCGGGCTCGGTTTGGGCTACCGGATTTAGGCTGCTAAAATAGGAATTAGCACTAGATGGCAGCAATTGCTCTAGGTTGCGGGGGGGATGTTGCTGCTGCTCCTCCTCATCTCTTATCTCCGGCATCTACAGGCCACACGAGCGTTGCCGTTCTACCCGGGCGAGAAAACTACAGGACCCAGAAGAAATCGCGGCGAATCACCGCCCCTTCCGCCTAACCTTTTCGCTGGACTCCTTAGCACGACCTACGAGGGCTTCCGTTTCATGATAGAGCAACTACGGGCGTTCGGGTTGGAGCTGAGGCGGGACGGGAGGGGAGCCGTTAAGCGGAGGAAGGCAGCGACCCGGCGCCTCCTGCGAGCGGGAACCGGTCGGTGCAGGCTCATTGTCTCCGCGAAGCCCGGAGCTCCTCTCCGCTCGGGCTTCTGCGGGACGCG